TTTCTCTGGTCTATAAAAGAACAGAGGAGCACTTGCATCAGAGTTATTGAACCATTTCCAACATGCCAAGTTACCCATACATTTTTTTTAGAATATAGTATTTTGCACTTTGTATCCAGAAAGATGAGAACGGAGAGCATTCATTTGTTTGTACTTCAGTATGAGAGTTGTCTGTTGAGATGTTGGAACTGATTATTAAATGTTTTAAGTCAACATAGAGATTGAAGTAAATATTTCTTTGGAAGTTGGGGGCTAAGATAATTTTAGTAATCCTGCTCTCTCAACTGCATGTGGTATCAAATCAACAAAGAACCTCTATTTCCAGATTGCTTTGTATCTTACCTTTGAGGTGTAAAAGAGAAGCTAAAAAGGAGAAAAAGAGAGCTATAGGTCAAAAAGAGCTCAAATGATTCCATAGTATAGTTGATTTCTACTTAATGGTATCCAATTTTTAGTAAAAAGGGTGTGAGAATATTTAAAAGGAGCTAGCAGGCATCAGATGGGACACAATATCATAGAGTATCTGTCACATTATATCCTCACAGCCCCCAGTGGAGCTTGTGACTTTTTTCCTTCCCTTTTTTCTTCTTACTGAGATGAGGTCATCCAGATAAACTCTCTCTCTCCCTCTCTCTCCCCCCCTCCACTTTAAAAAAATCCACAGAGGCCTTTATGTTTTTCTAATAATTGGCAGCAGCAGTACTATTCTCCTCCCTTCCCCCCTCCCTCCCTTTCAAGTGATGAATAGCTGGCCCTAGATCAAAGACAAGCCCTAGGGTTTTTTTGGCTGCCACAAAAGGGCGTTGGAATTGGCAAAGCTCCCAGCTGCTTAGTGATAGGCATGTAGACGAAGTGCCAGGCAACAGAGGTCAGTGGCAAATGTCTGTACACGTTCTTCATCTGAGATAATCTGGTTTCCCTTTTTGTTTGTGTATTTCAGGCCAACGGCAGGTTGAAGCAGATTGAAAAGGAATACAGACAGAAGCTCGCCAAATCTTCACAGGTAGGAAACAAAAATGAAGCATAACGAGGATATTTTCTTAGGAAGGTTTTTTTTGTCTTTCAGTTAAAGATGAAAATAGAAATAAACCACACTTGTTTCTACACTTATAATACCAGGATTTATTCTAATACCCATTTCCTTTTCATAAAGTTTAATTCTGCTGTTGACAGATGTTATTTTGTTTTTTACAGTTTTCTCCCACATGTTACTGCCCTCCCCCATACCAGCAAATTTAAATGACCAGTGGGATTAAAATGAAACACTACAGATAAATGACCCTGTTCTCACAATAGTGTTAATTTAGTTATAGGGAGAAGATAACATCTCACATAAACTCCAAAACTGGGTCAGTTGATCCAACAGCTAATCCTGAGAGGATCTCTCTATGTACAGTATCCATGGTTGTTTTAGTTTTCATCCTCATTCTGCCACATAGTAATAAAACACCAGAAATTGGCAGGTTGCATACAACCTCCTGACTCTGCAGTGGTGCCAACCCAGTCAGTAATAGGTCCTAGTGTCCTTTATCATGGCTGGGACTCAGGACTAAAAAAGATGGCCAATTCATAAATGCTCAAGACATCCTGGATTATATACTACTTGAATATGTAAATTGAAATAACATTGAGTTATTTGCCTGGATGGACTTAAAGTAGATGATTACAACTTACTGTGAGTATATTATCCTATAAGGCACTAGTATTTGGGGATAACATTGCCTTTTAGTTTTTCTCCCTGTGCAGATAAACAGTCTCTAATCTGTATGATAGCATCTTCTTTTAACTTAGAAGTACTGTTAGCATTTTTTTGGTAATTTTAAGTAGATTGCTCTTATCTAGCTTTACTTTTTCAGATTAAGATCTTTCAAGAAGAGCAATTGTGCCCATATTAGTCCACCAGAAAACAGCTATGTTGAGTTGTCCAGAAGTATCCCAGTTGTCAACATGTTCCTTTTCTTGTTTACTTCAGTAACTCTATAAACTGAGTTATGGGCTACTATCAAAATTGGGTTGCTCTCTAGAATGGAAAGGGAATTTGAAGGAGTTTTTGCTCCAAATTTCTTTTTTCTTCTCGCTTGGAGAGCAAAGGTTAGATTCCGACAGTACAGTTCAGTAGATGCTTGTGCTATTGTTAGTATAGGTTGAAAGACAAGCAAGACCAAACTACACTTACTCAATATTGATCTCCTTTATACTAATTATGGGGAAGAATACTGATGTATTACATCAGTACCGCCCAGTGGAACCCCATCTTGCATCATTAGTACAGTAGTAGGAAATCATAAATGTGGTATCAATGGAGAAATAACATGGAAAGAGAAGGAAGACTGAAGGACTTTTTTAAGGCTCACACCAACTCCTCCCTGAGCATTAATCTGTTGGGACTTTATTGCTTTATTGCATGAGCAGAATGAAAATAGTTGCTTGAAATATATATCTACATTATGCAGTCTGGCCTAGATGTTATTCCACCATAGCCAAGTTTGGAAAAGCTAAACAGGGTCAGATTTGGTTAGAACATGGATGTAAGGCTTCCAGGAAATCCCAGGGCGTAGGCTAGACTGGGAAAAATCATAGATAATGGCAAATCAGTTCCATATTGCTGCCAAGAAAACTACTTGGACGTGTTCATGAAGTCCTTGGGGGTAAAGTTCAGCTGCTTGTATTTACCGAAGTCTATTGTAAGAGGGTGGTGGTGTATAATATGTGTTTTTGCCAGTAAAAATTCATTTAAAATTGAACTTCATCTTTAATTCTGTAGTCTTAACTTTTGGTTTTTCACCAGCTTGACTATCATTTAAATATAGTTTTCTAATGTTAATAATAGGTGATTAGTAAATTATGGATGGCAAGTGATTTGTAAATTTTGTATGGCCTCTAACTTTCTATGGCCTCCTGGATCATTTATATAAGAAAATATATTCCAATAAATTGTTTCTAAGTGTGGTCAAAATAAATAATAGCATTTCTTCTCCCCCTCCCTAAACATTAGTGCCTAAAAATTTCTTTGTTTGCTGCTTTTATAAGTTATGTGAGCATCATTTGATATGAACTGAACCATAAAACTAAATTGTTTTAGGAGTGGATTCAGTCTAGGGATGTGCAAAATGTTTCATGCACTTACTCTTCCCTACATGGAACAGCTGATTTTGTGGGTCCGTGTTCAAAACAAAACTTGCTTGTTTTGGTTGTTTTCATCCATTTATGGACCAAAATGTTCCAGACAGACATAGTATGTGTGAGGGCAAGAGCAGAGAAAAGCTAAGACTGAGAACTATCCTTAGTTATGGTGTATGTGGACATCTGCAGCAGCAGCTGCTGAGAGGAAACAAAGAATGAAGACACTGGCAAGATTGGGGCTGGTAGAATATGCCATACTGGGTCATCACTGGTGATATGTCACACTGGGACTTTAGCAGCAGCAGCTGATAGGAGGGAGGAAAAGAAACATCCTGGAAGAATTGGAAGTGGTTGAGCTAGGGGGTGATACTCTATTAGGACGTCAGTGGCAGAGGAAAGACAGGGAGGAAGGGAAGTTGCTAGAAAGATTAGGGCGGATGAATCAGTAGACAGACCATGTGGAGTAGAAGATGCAACAGATTTGCCTGATTTGTCCCATATAATCACTCTAGGATCCCTTTGGATTTTGCTGTGGGCAAAATCCAGAACAGCTAAATCCTTCTGGGTTTTGTTTCTGCTGAACTGTTTCAGATTGGGCTGTGATTCAGCAGAAACAAATCCTACCCTGTTAGGGCATTTTCTCCTGGTCTTCCTAACTCCTTCCCTCCCTCCCCTGCTTTCCCTCAGCCACCAATGTTCCAGTATAGGCATTGGTTTGAAAAATGATTTGGCAGAACTTCCAGAGTGCAGTAGTTTCAGATTTGAAGCAAAACATATTTTCCATTTTGTGTGCCCCTGTTACTGTAGCAAGTACTACGTACGGGACATTTTTTTTTTTTAATTATTTCTCTTGCTACAAAGTTGAATGAAATATTAAATTAAAGAGCTTCAAAGTAGCTCATAGTGTTTTTGCCTAATCTTGCAGGGTATTTTTATATGTACAAATGATTCAGTATCCTTACTATGTGATCCTCTGCATTATTACAAACTTGGTCAAATAGTATTTAGAAGAGTTTACACTAAATTATCCTTTCCCAATCTGGTCTGCTCCAGATTTGTTGTTGTTGCAACTCCAAAATTTCCTTGCCAGCATGGCCAATGGCTGAGTTGCATTCCAAAAACTTTTGGAAATGCCAAGGTAAGGAATCCTGTTGTAAGTAAAGGTATTAAGTATTCTTGTTTTTACTAGTAGATAAAGATTATAAAATTTAAAATATACACACACAGAGAGAATTCACTTTTACAGTTACATAATTCAACTTTTGTTCATTATAGTCACAAGGCCTAGTCATCAATGTCAAATTGATATATGATGTAGATCAAAGTCTATTCTGTGCACTTGCAAAGTCTCTTCATACCACAGCCCATGAATATTCTGAAAAAGACAAAGTGATTTACTTGTAACTGGTTCTTTAGTCTATGGACATACGCATATGAGTTATGCAGTTGCAGAGAAACATTGTCTAGAGCTTGCAGATATATTGTGTCTTCCCTGCCACACAGGAGTGAAAAAGGTAATTGGTGGGTGTGAACAATAGCACTGACCCTGATCACTCTGCACTTTTTTTTTCCCTGTAGGGTGGGGTAGGAGGAGACCTAAGAAATGGAAAGTACCAATTTCCTTTTGCACCAGCTGTGGGTTAAAAATTCACTGACAGGTTACTATTTGACGTATCTGGGAATGTGCACTGCTATAACATGGAGATATGTCAGCTGGCCAGGGGAAAGGATGATTTAATTAGCCATGCCATGCTGTAGCAGCTGAGAAGGGCAGGGTTGCCTGCATGAGGTAGAAGAAGGTCTCACCCTCTGCTCCCACAAGTCCTCTGGTACTGCCTGTTCTTTTGCCCTACCTTCCTTTTATAGAGCAGCTGTTCGGTTGTATTTCTGTTGCTGCCACCTATTTTGGGGAAATGCTTTGACCTGACCTCCTCCTCTGATCACACCAGAATGTGAGGCAGATAGGGGATCTCACACTTTGAGCACCATTACTTGCCAGGGAATAATTCTTAGTTATTCTGAAATGAAATGAAATGAAATGAAATGAAATGAAATGAAATGAAATGAAATGAAAGTTGTTGTTGCTGTCATTAACCAGCACAAGTAGCTATTTTCATATGTTTCATATATCTTTAGTCTAAAAAGGCTTTAAGCAGCATTTATGAAAAAGCTTTGTTGGAATAAGAGCACTGGCTTTTTG